AACCCCCACCCCCCCTCCTTCTTGTTGCAGATGAGGAAATAGAGTGAGCTGGGAGGACCACCACTTCTGGGCGTGGGGTGGGGTGGGGGTGGGAGAGGGATGAGCTGGAAGGAACAATTTTGAAAGAATGAGGGTTTCTTCCAAATGCTGGGGAAAGGATATTTCCAAACCCCCGACCTCATAGTTCCTGTACTTCCCTGTCAAGACTGACGTTCATTCATTCATTTGTTCTTTATCCCTGAGTCCCTGGAAGTGTCAGACGGTGGCCCCAGAGTTGACCTGGATCAGTCACTGTCCTTAAGAAGCCCCTACCCACGGGCACTGCCGAGAAGCCCAACTCACAAATGTCAGCAGTGATCATTATTGCCATTACATCACTATTTTAGCAGGAAAATGAGGCTCGCAGGCACGGAGGAATGCGCTCAGGTTTGCACAGCTGGAGAAATGGCAGGATTTGAATCTGGGTGAGTGTGACAAGGAAAAATCCCCGAGGCCTCCTCCTCCTCCCCCAACTACAGGTGTTAGTTGTCACAACCACAAGACACACCTGCTTTCCTTCATCTCTGAAAAGGCTGGGCTCCTGTCTGTCTTGAAGGCCTGGCAGTGTTTGAGGCCAGAAGGGAAAGAGGGCTTAGGCCAAGGGGGTAGCTGGGCCTGCCACCCAGCTCACCTGCCAGACACTGGGCTTCCTTCCTGTGGGACCTCTGCCCCCATTAAATCTTATTCTGCCCCAGCACCTTCCCTGGGTGCCCTTGATTGGGGTAGGCACACCCACTGTGCTCCCTCCCCAGGCCTACCTGCTGTTTTTCCTGTTGCTCCAGCCCACCCACTGGGAGAGGTAGGGAGGCTTGTCAAGCCTCTAGGGAAGCGGTTCTCAACCTGTGGGTCGCGACCCTTTCACAGGGGTCGCCTAAGACCTTCGGAAAACACATATATAAGTACATATTGTTTTTGTGATTAATCACTATGCTTTCATTATGTTCAATTTGTAACAATGAAATTGGGGGTCACCACAACATGAGGAACTGTATTAAAGGGTCTCGGCATTAGGAAGGTGGAGAACCACTGCTCTAGGGGGTAGGAGGGAGCCAGAGGAATCAGGAGCAAGGGAGAGCAGGAGCCAGAAGAGAGCATGAGCAGCAGGAAGTAGCCACGCGGTGGGGGAGGGGGCCAGGTGGGAGAGCAGAGGGCCCTCTGGATCCTAAGGGCCCAGGAAATGCAGAGTTTTATAAACACACAGACACCCCAAAATAAACTGAAACCTCTGAAGGAACACTGGCAACTGAGGCCTTCCTCACCCATCGCTTGGCAGAAAATGAGAACACACCCACCTTTTTCTTAAAGGGGCGCTTCTACTGCTGGTTTGGGGCCTTCATTTCTCTTGCAGATCAGTCTTCGATGTCAGTTCCCCTTGGTTCCCTGGGCTTTGCCACAGGAGTTGGTCTGTACTTTCTGCTTGAAAACGGCAGATGACGTGTGCTCAGTCCACCTTTAACGGGCCTGTTGTTTGTTTTATTCTGTCTGGACCTTACTCCTCTCACCTGTGAAATGGAGAGAATAGCATTGACGGGAAGGGTGAAATGGGTTAATACGTGTAAAGTACTAAATTGTGATGGTGCGGTAGAATCTCTCTTGAGTGTTTGCAATTTGCAATTACTGCCTGCTGTTGTTTTCTGATGATACGGGAGGGCAGCTCAATCTCAGCCCAGGTCACAACCA